CTGTTTACAGTCCAAAACAGCTCTAAACAATATGTGGCTGGATTTTGATGCGAGAGACAACAGGAGACGGACTTATGGACTTATTATGGACTCTTATGAAATATGGTATTTTAGTTAAAAGCGTCTTAATGCTGGATTTGTTTCAGCTTTTGTCTTCTCCAGATGTTAACTGATGGACTGGAGTGCTGTGGATTACTTGTGGATTATTGTGATGTTTTTATCAGCTCTCGTTCTGACGGCACCCATTCACTGCAGAGCATCCATTGCTGAGACACTGATGCATTTCTCCAAATCTGACGAAGAAACCAACTCGGATGAGCGCATTCATGTTCATTTTTCCCAGAATAATAATGACAAGAGAGTCACAGAGCCGTTTTCACAACGTTTATTATAAAAATATAAAACAAAGAAATTAAAAATCGAATCGAATCGATTGAAAAATGGTCATCTGTCTCACACACACACACACACACACACGAGCGTTCAGTCTCTTCGGTGAGAGTCAGACGGGATGTTTGTGTTACAGACAGAATATGAACATGTTATAAAAACAGGAGCCGGAGGCCGAGGCTCCAGCGCAGGAATGGAGCAGAAATCAACAGGAGTTTAGTGGCAGAAAACACTGATCTGATTCACATCCGTACCTCCCAATCTGACTTTCCCACTAGAAACACATCTTAGACACAGATGTAGAAAAGACGTGACCGATCTACCGTTTATAATCTTTGCTTTAAAGTAATACAAAAATACTAAATCACAATTTCATAGCTTATATCATAAACAGCAAGAAGGAAAATAATACTTTGAGCGATTCGGCGCGATCATAAATAGATACTGAACAGTATAAATCTGGCACACGCACATATACAAGAGCAGGTATCATATTGATGAAATCATGTTTAAAAAGCAGCACATCACTATAAAAGAGCAGGGTTTATTGCGTTCATAAATTACTTCATATTTAATCTGGTTAATGCGGACGGCTCCGTGTGCTCGATGATGTACACGACCAGTCAAAAGCTTTTTAAAGAAGTCTCTTCTGCTCACCAAGCCAATGCATTTATTTGCTTCGAAATACTTCAAAAGCAGTAATATTGTAAAATATTTTGACTATTAAAATAGCTGCTTTCTATGTGAATCTCTGTTAAACTGTAATGTATTTCTGTGATGCGCAGCTGTATTTTCAGCATCATTACTCCAGTCTTCAGTGTCACATGATCTTCAGAAATCAGTATAATATGCTGATTTGCTGCTCGAGAAACATTTCTGATTATTATTATTATTATCATCTAAATATTTAAAAAAGTTGAGTGCATTTTTTCAGGATTCTTCGATGAATCCAAATATTAGCATTTATCTGAAATAATTATACACTATTCCATTATACACATTATACACTGGGGGGGGGGGGATTATAGAAATTAATAATTTTATTTAGCAAAATGTTTTTTGAGCAGCAAATCAGCATATTAGAATGATTTCTGAAGGATCATGGGACTGGAGTAATGATGCTGAAAATCCAGCTTTGAAATCACAGAAATAATAAAGCAATAAGCCCCGTGAAGCTGTGGTTTACAGTGGATTTATAACAGCTAATTTACAACAGCTTCGAACGCGGCTCAGCCAATCAGAATCAAGGACTGGAACTATACGTTTTATAAATTACATTTTAAAATATATTCAAATAGAAAACAGCCGTTTTTGCTGTATTTTGGATCAAATAAATGCAGGCTTGGTGAGCAGAAGAGAGTTCTTTAAGAAGCATGAAAAATCTTCCGGTTCAGAAAGGTTGGGCTGGTGGTGTAGTGGTTTCAGGCCGGTTCTCAGGGGTCGGTGGTGTTGATAATGAGCTTGTCGCGAGCGCTCACGCCTCGGTACCAGCTGCAGTAGCCCTCCTTCTGCTGGATGCAGGCGTAGTGACGCGACTGATAGCCGGGGTAGCTGAAGTGCGACAGCATGTCCGTCCATAAGCACTCGTTCTTGGACGTGACGAAGCAGGGCAGATAGTGGCACGGCTTGATCTGCAAACACAGAGTGTGTTAATCAAAAAGCATGTCTACTTATTGAACTCATAAAACTCTTAACAAATAATATAATATCGCAGACGATATATATCGGTTCCGTGTGATATTTGATTGCTAAATGAACGTCTGCATGCGTGTTGGACCCTATAAAATCAGTTTTATTTCCCAAAAATTCGGTTTTAATGGTTAAATTAAATTTTAGTAATCAGAAAGCATGTCTAATTCATTTAAATCATGAAACGTGCACATTTTAATAAAAGTTTATTAAAAAAATTATTTTTAGGGCCCTATGAAATTCCAGTTTTTCCATTAGAATTTTTCTGTATTCCATTTTTTTCTTGACTTCGTTTAAATGGTTAACTTAAATCTTAATCGTCAAAAAGCACGTCTAATTAATTGAAATCTTTCAATACACAATTTATCATCAAAATTTCTTTTTACAAAAATTATATTTTTAGGGTCCTATGAAATCCATTTGACTTTTTCCCAAATTCTATTTTCTGGAGTCCATTATTAATGGTTAAATTACATTTTAATAATCAAAATACATTTTTAGACTTTTTAGTTTAACGATTTCTTAAATATTTGACAAAAATTAAATTTTAGGGCCCATTAAAAATAAAACGGATTATGACATGCATTTTATTTTCCCCCAAATTC